TGCGCGCGGGAGAGACGCAGATGCGACGCGGGTGCGAGCGATCATCCTTCCAGCCGTCTATTCCATCGAATCAAAGGGTATGGTTTGTGTGTCAATCACGCATTCTTCGTGGAACTATGCATGCGCAATGCACGGGCTTTGTGTGCAGACCTCCACACGAGGACAATTGAATGCGCAAGCCCTATGCGCGTGAACGTGGCGCTAAGCTCGGCATGTCGATCGGAAAAGGGAGCACGTGATTGACGTATACTGTAGCTTCCAGAAAACTTACGTCAAGCTTCAGTATGTCTCGTACGATGGCAACTTGCCAGTGTTCAAAGAACTTCTCGATTACATCTTTAGGGAATAAAGCGCAGAGTGCTCGTCCTACACGAGCAAATGCATCAAATGGAGGCATTGCATATTGACGCAAATATAGATAGGTGAGGATCTGAAGTATATTTCTGAAAGTCCTATCGAATGGCTGAGGTTCAAATTACCGTTTTCATGTCATCAGCATGAGTAGAAGTGAGGATGAAACGGTCTTCATGAGATACCATCAGAAGATTTTCATTGGGAAGTGATGAATGAGTATGGACAAGGACCTATAATTCCAGAAAGGTTAATCTAGAATGGGAATATGAGAGATTACTTGTAGGATTGGGCTTGCGTCTGCTAGCACTTTCTTATGTACAAAATACTCTCTAGGTGATCCTTCGGCAACTGTGATGACCCAATCAAAACCACGAGGTTTTTCTCCGGTCAATATTATTGATAGGATCTTCTCGGCTGCCGGTGTCGTTTTAGGTTGTTTTCTGGATTGCAGGTTCGGGTCAGAAATTGCGATCGCAGAGTAGCTGACTCACAAGCTCAAATCTATCAGTTTGTCCAAGTCAAAATAGGAGCGGAAAATTGTGATGCTGACTCTCATAGTAAGTGTTGTCATCTGTTCCATCACCTCGTTAAGCAAGTTGAGTGATAGCAAAGATTCAGCGACAAAGCGGTCACCTCTTTCGACCAGCGGTACTGTAAAAAATAGTAAATAATTTTGTTTCCATCCATATATGGGCGTACTTTCAATGTCATCTTTTGCTTTCAGATGCAAAGTTATATTGTGAACTTGTGGTGGAAGTTGATTTGGTGGAGAATTGTTTCCAATCCCTAAAAGATTTAATGAATGATTCCCGTGCGATCTCCAGATTCTTTGGTTCCAATTAGTGCAATTTACATCTTGCTACCAAAGCTGCTAAAAGCTACAGCCTATTCCCAAACGAAGGCGTTGCCGTAAGTGCGAAACGCATGCGGACGCGGCGCTTGAGGGGATACTAGTCTTTTATGTCTTCGCGACCGCTTTGCGTCACTTTACCATCCGCCTTTGTGCGGGAGTACCACAATACCTCCTTTCACTATTTCTCCTTTCTTTGAGAAGTGCGGACCCAATGAAATCATCTCGAATTGACATAGTAGATCTGAAAAAAGCACAGGTTTTTAGCTCAGTATTATTTTTTAATGACAGTAGAGGCTTTTCGTCTGGAGAGTATCATTCTGCTGCTTGAATACACGCGTCGATTTTGATGTTTGCTAATGCTAACGAATCGCGCGCTAGTTTTTTAAAAAATACTTTACTCAAATTTTATCCCGTTGAGAC